ATACAGTAATATGCTACCTGAAGGTACCATATACAGTAACTCTATCCGAGATGGCTGTGGAAGGATGATCAACCCATGAACTCGCATAGGAAAAAAATAGGACGCACGGACTTACTCCCCGTGCCGCTTTCACCGGATGAACTCTTGACCGTACAATGAGTGCATATTGAACCAAAGTACTTTCCCAACCAATGGAAACTGCCGAATGTTCGCTACCTCATTTCTCGCCGCAGTGCAAAGAGTGGTGGTGTCAGCTGATCAACCCTGTATCAGCGATGTTTTCCGTAATCCTGTGCGTGCTACAGAAAACTGCGCGAACCAGAATTCACGTATGAACTGAATGGCACTCCGAGATCATTTGTGCCGAGCCTGCATGGTGGACTTGCCACAGTTGTAGGCCACTAGCGAATAGAACGCCATCGTGGCTGCACCGGAACGAATGTTTTACGTAGCGATGGTTTGCAAACATACTTCGCCACGGCTATTTACATGCGCTGTAAGCATCATGCAGCTGCTTCTTCAACGAAACACAAGCATTTACCTTCCCATTAAGTAGCACTTGTGTCACAGCCATGATCAGACTCTAACAGTGCGCAATTCCCTGCACTTGGATGCTGCAGGTTTCATCAGCGCGATCGTAACAAGGATATCGAAACGGATACACGCGTACGATTTTCGCAACGTCCAAATTGCGAAAATTTGTCGAACAATAACATCGTTCCAACAGCACCAGTGAATTGCAGAAGTTAGCGTGGACTGTAGGCGTAACTACAAATTTGATTGCTGTAACCATTTCGCCCCGCTGGTCGAGCTTGAGCGTGTTGGCGGCGTGCGGCACTTTGTAGTATCCACTGTAATTGGGATACAGCAGTGCGCAAAAACTTATACCTTTATTTTGAGCTCGCTGAAGTATATTATACAATAAATACAATAACACAAGCGGTGCATTGTATAGGCCAAGGTGTGGAACCGCAAATCTTGAACCTGCGCTACTTTCCGCGTACTATGAATGTTTGGATTTTATGCACTACAAAAGCACTGACGAATGCTATACGCACGTAAAACAAGGCGTGTTATAAAATAAATGGCCCGAAAATAATATTTTACTATCCAAAGTGGCTGCAGAAAATCTCGCGAAGCTGATATGTGTGCTCTGCGGACTCTAATCAGAAGGGCGAGTCGCCACGTATTTTCCCGAAAACTTCGCGTCTCGCACGAAAGAATCAGATTTATCGTGTCACGGACCGTCTGGTATATTCACTGATGCGCGAAACATACAAAGTAGTTTGAGTTCGTTTCTTGCTAACGCGTTAACACTAAGGCTGGCGCCACCGAAGAAGGGAGCATTGTGAGCGTCTGCCTACTGATCACCCTTGAGAGGACGCTCGTAAATTCCGCTAGGTGGTGCGAAAGTCTATGAACATTGCGAATAGCACATGTACATCTTTGATGTGTTTCACGTTCAATACACACGCATACATGTAAACACACGTCCCCGCTATGGATCAGGAGGTGATAGAGCTGGGCCTCAGAACCGAAGGTCGTTGCTTCTATCCCGGCCGCGGTGGTCTCATTTCGGTGAAGACTAAATGATAGAGGCTCATTTACTGTGCGATCGAAGTGCACGTTGACCAACACCCGATGCTCGGAATGTGGATAGTCTGGATACCCCCCACGGAAGCGGATTGCCTGTATAACACCCTTCCCCCCCCCCCCCCCCCGTTTATGGTACTCGACCGAAAAGCGATGCAGGCAACTATTTAGCCACTAGTCAGATAAACTGTAAACTAATAGTTAACTTTTACTCATATAAAATTACGACTACTTAAAAAAAAACGTTATGAGTTTTTAGTTTTGGCTATTTCGGCCCCTTCTCACTTAATCACGCTTCAATCGTCGACAGGCGTTGATGCCTGTGGCAATAGGTTTCCGATACTTTCCGTTCCAAGTTTCGTGGCCCATATAGTTTGACGATAGTTCGAGTTCCATTATTCAGGACTGAATTGATTGATTGATTGATTTGTGGGGTTTAACGTCCCAAAACCACCATTTGATTATGAGAAACGCCGTAGTGAAGGGCTCCGGAAATTTTGACCACCTGGGGTTCTTTAACGTGCACCCAAATCTGAGTACACGGGCCTACAACATTTCCGCCTCCACCCATCGGAAATGCAGCCGCCGCAGCCGGGAATCGAACCCGCGACCTGCAGGTCAGCAGCCGAGTACCTTAGCCACTAGACCACCGCGGCGGGGTTATTCAGGACTGAATGATTATTGTAAAAAAAAATGCCATGTATGCTAGCTGTACGCGGTATTTTACTTGTAATACTTTTGTTTCCGCACTTGTGTCATTCAGCAATTCACACATTCATCGTTGAAGTATAGCATTCGGTTCACTGTTGACAACGAACATGCTTATTTACCATCAATCCTTCTGGCACATATATTTTTTATATTTTGTAAGTTCATTATTGTAACATGCAGCCCTACGTGGCATCAATGGCCAATTGCAGTACGCCGTTTCTAATTGCTAATCAGGTTGATTGGCTTCCGCTGAGATAAATAAACGTGATGACTTCTGGCGAAACGTGCTGATTTGACAAACAGGGTGTTTCATTTGGAATGTGTGTTCTTTACCGTTATGCAACGGAATATGCTACTATACTGCCAGGCCTGTAGCCAGAAAGTTTTCAGCGGGGGAAGAGGGAGGGGGAGGGCCCTTCATCAAGACCTTCGAACACCCACTTTTTTAAATATTTAGCCTCGGTAAAACAACCCCCTTCATCCGCATTAACGGGGGAGCAACTAGTCTTCCCTCCACCCTCTCCGACGCGCCTAAGGGCCTGTATATTGCACTGCAGCAGCATATCACTCTTGTACACGTGGAAGTAATTCACTTGTTTAATTGACACAATAAATTTCCTTAACAATCAAGATATTAGTATTCGTAAGATAATTATTACCAAATTGTAGCAAATAATATTCTTTGTAAAGATATACACGATTGTGTTTCGATGTTTGTACATTGTCCAGGAACCTAGAAACCTGCGACAACGATTCTCATATGCACAGATGTGAGTCCTGTCATTTCGCGAGATACGTGTGATACTTTAGCGAAGTTCTATAAGAATGAAGCCGCTACGTCACTGGTCTTTTTTTTTATTATGTTCCTGTTACACAGTCTGTCTGCAGGCGAAGATACCACTCAATTTATAACGCTCTGAGTAAAGATAATAAGAGGCCCAAGTCTAACTGAAGCATTCTGCATTATAAACGTAGACCACTTGAGAATCACTTGAGAACGTTGAGGGCCACACTCCCATACAGATTTGTTGAGTAACCGGGAATGCTGTCCCTAGGGCTGTCAATTAGCATTATTTCTTGGCAGCATGTGCTGTCAATAGAGCTTTATTTCAACGAGTTGTCGTGCCATAACCAGGATTTTAGTATAAGCCACGCCCCAATGGCATACTCTCAATTAATTCTAACACTGGTGCTTCTATAATGTGTTCGTATTGCTCTTGCAAAAAAAGAGAACGTCTTTGTATTGTATTGCCCTTTTTTGTGCGCAACGTCTTTGAATTTCCTGCACACGGTAAGCTTGTAAAAGCACTGAAATTACATCATGTTGCAAATTAGTTTCACTAGATTCCGCAAGAGGCTAAATGTCTATAGAGGAGATTGTTGACAGCCAGCTATTTGTAGCGTGAAGTCACAAGCAAATTTATACATTAAAAAAATCAGAGCTTATGGGTTGAACGAAATTCGCCTAGTCCTGGTTTCAGATCCCCGGATAAAGGCATTTCTGGGTCGGTCGTTCTGCTTCCACGAGAAATTCGTATTAATTTGCTCGAGGTTTCATGTTAGAGACAGCTGAGTGTCAATTATCCCGTTTACAACATGACAGCATCTATGAAGGAAGACATGTTAGATGTAAAACAAAAATAGCTGGCAATCGGGGAGCAGGAGTGCGACATGAGCCTTGCTAAGGAGAACAATACTATGTTACATTATGAGCAAGAAATGGATTATTTTCCTATTTTGATTCCAGTGGATAACCTTTGCGTCATTGTTCCTTACATGTGCATCATGTTACAGTTACTCGCATGCGTTACTAGCAAGACTGAGAAATTCGCATAAGTTGACAAGATGCATGCTACTTAAATCATATAGAAGTGTGAGAGCGTTTCTGAGATGGCCAGGTATTCAGACAAAAAAAAAAGAAGTACAAAGTTCATTTGAAAGGCAATCAATTCCGCTATATATGATTATGAGACAATTCAAAGATACGTCAGTGGTTTCAATGAGTTAGGGACACAATTCACAAATATATTTCGTTCAAAGTGATAGCTACCGTCGGTCGGCTACATTTGCTACTATGGTGCGGTAATCTACAATTCGCAATGACGAACGATATCATCTAATGACTCTTTCGTCAATAGCCTCAAGACGACGTGAACGAAATGACAATCAGGACAGCGTTTTCAGAGTATCCTCTTCGACAGTTGGTACACCTCTGCCACGTTGGCTCATTGGCTAAGCGTTTTGCTGCTGAGTCTCAGGTCACTGATTCGACTGCCTGGCCGTGTGGCTCTGTATTAATGGGGGCGAGAGTGAAGGAATGCTCGTGTATCTACTTGAGTGCACGTTGCAATCAGGTGAGTTGTCGAAGCCTTAACGGTGACGTGATCGTTCGTAGTGCCGATTTGACTAAGTACGTTAAACCGTTTCAATAACTGATTCCAGCGTCCATAACGTTTCAATGACAGGGGCCCAGGGCTGTGGTTAGGTGGTGAATGTCAGGTGATAAACGTGAGCAACACAAGGAACAAATGCTTTGCATTTGAGTATGTTTCAGCGAGACTGCTGTCGTTTAAAAGGTAATGCGTAACATATTGGCTCGTCTATGCCTCTTGGGCTGTATGTAGAGAACCAATAGCGACGATGAAGAAATTAGGTATTAAAATAGGAAAAAAGGAAAAGAAAAAGCGTAGCCGTACGTTCAACTCGATGACTTTTCCTGGGTAGATTCCTCGTCTTTGTAAGGGCCGAATTGAGGGCACGCCAAACTCGGTGGCTTCTCACCCGATGCTGACGGAGCCGCGGTGATGTCTGGGACGTCCCAGACGAACGAAGGTCGCCGACAGAACTAAAAGGCCAGTCGAACGCGCGACCGAATTGGTCGCATCCTCTCGGCGCGGCGACTGTGAGTCTGCGGCTCATAAGATGGGGGAGAGAACAACGGAGCAAGGGGGACGCCACGAGATCGAGAGACAGGTGTCGGTCGTGCTCGCCTGTGGTCAGTCGCTATCGCAAGGACAGTGGGTGTCGGGTCATTCGCGCACTGCATGAGGGCATATAAACAGTTGATGGCTCCTGGCAATATCTCCCTGCAACTCGACCCCCCTCCACTCCTGCCCGCTTGTACCGAGCAGAAATAAGGAGAAAGAGGGGGTATGCAAACTCTACTTCGCACCAGAGTACCGAGTGCGCAACCGTCAGCGCCTCCGCTGAACAGGTTCTTCCCTAGGAAAAGGGCGACGGGATGGTCACAAGGAAAAGGGCATCACGTGACAAGGCCATATGCAGTGGCCTTATCTCTGTGAAAGTTCCGAGAAAGGTGGAATGTAAGGCGTGTTTTATACTTGGCAATTTACCGGCGCTGGCTTATTCTGTTCTTCCTTACTTATCTGCCACCATGTACCGTGCTGTGTGTGTGTGGTGTTTTTTTTGTAGAAAACGCCTTAACAAGACCTAATTGGTGGTGACCCAACACACTTTGCATGGTGGCTTTGTGGACTAGCTTGTGAAAAAGTATTAATTTCACAGCGCGGAATTTGATTGTGGTAATAGTAATAATTATTGGGGTTTCATGTGATAAGATTATGTTATAGTTGAGGCACGCCGTAATGGAGGATTCTGGACTAATTTTGACCACGTGAACTTTTGTAAAGCGTCCATAAATCTCAATTCATGGTAGTGCTTTGATTCGGTAGCGAGTGGTGTTCGAAACATGTAGTGGTGGCTCTTCTTCTGCTATAGGCTACCATGGGAGCTGTAAATTGAATGCGGACACCTTTGGTCGTTCGGGACGCGCAACTAGAACACGAATAATAATGCGACATGAATAATCAAGCTATCTCATGGTAAAAGAGCTGTTGGAGACAACGCCTTCTTAAGGGTATGCGACAAAGAAGCTCCGACCTAAGTAAACTTGTCTGGAGTACAGCCCTCTCCAAGTTAGGCACACTACGCGGTATATAGATTTCATGTATATATAGTAGGGGCAAAGTAGCTGCTAGTTTTGTGACAAACTGCAGCACGGCAGCTCACAAAACTAGGTTACGTTGTGTACAAAGACGGAATTCTTCTCTAACCGGCCAACCTTCAGGCCGTGACGGTATTTCCCGAACCTGCGTCTGACAAAAAAAAAAAAAAACTGTGCAGTTTTGTGGGCTTCTGCTCCAGTTTTGTACACGTTCCTCTGAAATAGAAACGAAAAAAAAACATTCCTCGTTGATGCCCAATATTGGAACAAGTTCCCGTTACAAGTTTCCTAAATGCGAAAAGAAGTCGTTGCAGTTACATTAAAAAATGTAACGTTTTGTTACACTAACGTTACATTTGGATTTTCAATTGGAATGTAGTGCTGGATGATTTCGAGGCCAAATAAGTTGAGAAGTTTAATCTTTAATTAGTGCTATGTTTATTTCACGAATATACCATCGGCAGTGGCAGGTTATATGATTGAAGGAGTGTAACAAAAGGATCCTAGATATGGCGTTTTCTACATCAGTCTTCAAATACGCAGTCAGAATACTGCACTTCAGGTATTAACACAATAACGTTAAAATAACTTGTACAGCTGAAATTCTGGTGTTGGCGTTGTTGGTTGTGATCGAAAAAGTAGGATTGTCCATAAGGGAAAGCTCGAGATAACTAGAAAAAAAAAAGTTTAAAAAGCAGTTTGAGTGTGAATTAAACAAAAGCCTTCTACGCAGCAAGCAACTTGCGTTTTACGTCGGGCAACGATACCGCTCAGCGCAGGAATCGTGAGGAGAGAGCGCAGCGAATGCAACCTCGTGCGGTAGGTGAGTGAATGCTCACCCGCCGCTCACCTGCTCACTTACCACTTGCTCACCTACCAGTCTGCTTGGTGAGTAAACACTGGATTAGTATACATTTTATTATATCTATTCCTGCTGTTGCACAATGCGATACTGAACACGTGCCTTCAACGCCCAGTATCCGTGATACCCTGAGCGAAAAGGTTAAAATTATAAATTAACAAGCATTGGCGAGAATATCAAGACAACGAGTGTCGTGCACTTTTTTTCTTTACATCAGCCAATCAACAAATGTTTCAATGATTTCCCTGGGGACAAATGGTGGATAATGGAGACTAACGCAACGTGGAAACTTGTGTCGGTAAAAGGCGAGACTCAGAATCACAAATGAGAAGTGGTTAGGAACCGCTCGGACATTGCAAAACGGAAAGAAAGCACAGGCACAAAGAAGTGCTCAGGTTTTCCTATTTAAGAAGGGGGGAAATTTATTCCAGCACCCCACTGCCCCTTTTAGTCGTTTCTGAAGAAAGAATACAAGCTTCGCAACGAGTGCCAGAATGAGAATTAAGAGATGGCATACTTCTCACACATATTTGTGATTTATCCCCGACGGTGTGTAAAGAGGGAAGTAAGTAGCTCTTGAAATGCAACAGAAAGGATCGTGAGCTGCCATAATTGTTAGAAGGCTGCCGCGCCATATCAACACCATCATCATCAACACCATCATCATCCTCATCATCCTGACAATGCCCTCTGAAGGGCTATAATCCTTCTATGTTCCACTAATCAACCCGGTCTTGCGCTTGTTGTGGCAACGTTTTATCCGCTAACTTCGTAATCCTGACTTTGTTTTCCCCGCGCGCCTTTGTCTTTGCTTGGAATCCAGCCTATTGCGCTTAATGACCAGTAGTTATTTTGCCAACGCGCTGCATGCCCTGCCTATGTTCACTCCTTGATTTCCACTATGAGGTGTCTTTAACACCCGTGAAAGATGTCCCGAACCATACACGGCACAATAAACGATGATATGACTGGTTAGACTGAGCTAAGTTATTGAAAACCCTTTTACAAGATATGGACGCGAGCTTCCCGACCTCTTTCTACCCAGCACGCGCGCGCCTATGAAGCTAGGTGAAAGACGAGTAATGAATTAACTACACGTGTCTCTTCACCTCGATTAGTGCGACAGCTCGTGGCGTGACTGCCCTGTGGTTATACTGGTTTGTGTTCTCGGCGATGTTCGGTGTTCTTCACTCGAGCCCAGATGGCACACTTGTTAAAGGAGAAACAAATGTGGACACGGAAGACCGGGGATTCTATGGCACAGATTGAACGAAAACCGCACAAATTACCTCGCTTTTATTCACCACGATATCAAGGCTTTCTCTAAATCTATTCAAAAGGTCTTTTTACTTGTACGTACAAGTGATCTAGTTCACAAAATATGATACCCGTATTGCACACTCCCTGCATCGTTTAGCAATCAATCGCTTTTCCAAACATATTAGTCATTGCTTTAGCGCAAAGACTAGCATACTGCGAATGTTATAAGGATAAATTTTACGTAGCCAAAACTTTCACGCTCACTTATTTTTAAGGAAGGCGAACTCATACTACAAAGGAAATACAGAAGCTGAAAATAATGTTACGCAGTCCACTTAAAAAATGATTAAACGCACAAATTACCGCTATTTATTCAATCGTCTCTTAAATCCCGGTCATCGCAGAATCAAAACATTGTGGCCGTTTCGAGGTGACACCTCTATCTGGGCACTTGAAAGCTGCCGCGAAAGCTTCGTCATGTCGCAAAACCACATTGAGCAGCTTCACCAGGTTCGGATCTCCGCTGTCGCAGAGGGAGTCCCCAAGCCTGAGAAAAAACAACTGGCTCTCGGAGACACTCGGCCAGTTGGTCGACACATTCCACGACTTGTCCCATCTGTCGGTTTTAGTCGCACTCACGACCGTTCTAAGAGCGAGCACGACTTCTAGAATGTCCCTGCGCTGCATCAGTGTGGCCGTTTTACCGACGAGGCAAGACAGAAGGCCGCTTTCCTTCTTCAGAAATGCGGCTGTCAGTTCGCCTTTCTTGTCTAGTAAGAAGTGCCAAATGGCCTTGGCTGCAGGGACGCCTAGTACAGGAGCGTTCATCAGATGTTTGTGGGAGTTGAGCACGTCCAAGAGCGCATATGACCACGGTGTAAAGACCACCCATGGCTCCGAGACGTACACCGCATCACCTGTAAATAGCCACCTGGGAAAGTGCAGTTGTCTTCTAGTGCTGGCCTGTCGGAACTCGTAGTCTTTGATTGAGAGTAAAAGCGCACTGAAGTTGCTTACCGGCACCGGAGGAGTGAGATTTCGCGGCAAGGCATTGTACGGTAGAAACGGACTTAGTCCCTGCAAGTAACTAAGCGATGCTTTGCCTTGTCCCGGAGCTAGAAGAGTGATCACGCCTTTTCCGACGGTGTTGGTGACCTTGAAAAAGATGTCCCTCGCGAGCTGGTTCTTCGGTGCATTGACTATAACCTCAGCGTAATAGTTAACCCATATGTGCGGCAGGCTTTTCTCAAACAAGCATTGATGCTTGGAGTCGGGAGTGGTGCTCGCCGAACTGTTCATGGCGGTCAGGTCTTGATAAAGGCACGCGACGGCACGCGTCAGTACCGATGCCAGTGGCAGTGGTGTGGAGACGCGCGTGACCAGCTGCTTGAAGACTGCGAAGATCCTTCCGGGTAAACTGACACAGACCATCCGAACGTGAATAGGCGCCGACGTTTGGAAGACGCGGCGGGACAACGTGTCCCACGCCGTCGTAGCATTGGACGCGCGGAACATGTTTGGGCTACAGCTTGATACTATGCTGTTCAACCGGTCGTCGAAAGTTGCCTCAAAAGTCCAGTACTCACTCAACCGTATCGATTTCTGCGTGTGATCTTCTACAGCGTGAAGCACGCCATCGATGCACTGAGGACAGGTACTGTTAAACGACGCCAAAGAGGCGGCGAGCGTTCTCATGGGAGCGTCGACTCGAAATGTCGGGTGAGGCGAGTCAATTACTGTAATGTCCACCGGTGTCTTGATGCGTAGTCTGAGCGAGAGGAACGCTATGAAGAGCAGAAGTTGGTCGGCATTCATGGTACGCTGCAGCTGGGCAG